TATTGCTACGAAAAAGGACAGCTGAAATGATTGTAGAAATTTTTTCAAAGACTCGTGACGATTAATAATTTTTTTGGCCAGAAAAGAATTTTTTCACCCACCGGACTTTACAAGCTCTCATTTTTGAAGGAAAAAAGGTAGAGCTTTAATCTTCTGTATCCTGAATGAGCTTTTATAGTTGTACCTATTAATGAAAAAAGTTAGTCTCTTTTGTCTAGGAACTACTTGTACCAGTGGTTGATAATGCATGGTGGCTGAACACTCATGGCCTACTCTACACAGAGAGGATGAGTGGATAGTCAAGAATGAGTGAGTCACACTTAAAACTTAACGTTAGGTAAGGCACTTAGATCAGGAATTGCAGTATGCCATGGCAAGGGTAATTACTTACAACTACTAAACTACTTCATGCAAGACTAATTTACTACACTATTTTTAAAAATCCAAATTTGATCAGAAAATTAAAAAAAAATTTTTAATAATATTTTTATTAGGGGCCTTTAACTTTGTTTCCAATTTCACATAATACTGTATAGACCATATATTAATTTTTGCAGGGATTAAATTTCACAATTTTTGCGTTTTGGAAAAATTTGCAAAATTAGAATCTGCAAAATAGCATGCTGATTGTATAGTAGATGTGGTAATTACATTAAAATCGCAAAATTTTTATTCACAAATACAAAAATGTAGCCAAATCACAAAATTTCATACCTGCAAAATATATGATGTATACTGTAGAGCCTGAAATTACATTAAACGAGGCTTATAAATAACATTGTTTAACTTGATCTGAAGTTTTTATGAAATGATTGGACAAGATTTCCCACAGGATTTGTACATATTGCTCATGCAAATTGACAAGATTACAAGACAAGAATTAAAAATTGAAATTTTTTTCTGATACATTATACATGTCCTTATGCTGTGTAGAAAACTATAGTGAATTCCTATCAAGTTTAGATTTATTTATGAATTTTTAAATTTGCTAAAAAATTGGACTAAAGTCCCTTAGGACAAAAATTACTATAAGAGATTTTCAATTTTATAAATTTTCTGATACACATACGTGTCCTTATGTTGTGTATTGACTTTGAGTTGATTCTAATAAAATTTGGATTTTTAATAAATTTTTGAATTTAATCAAAAATTGGGCCAATGACCAAATGCTATTTTGGCCAAATTTTGTCCAAAATGGCTAAAATGCTCTAATTTTATAATTTTTCTGATATGTACATATGACTGCCCTTATACTGTGTATTAACTTAGAGTTGATTTTAATCAAAAATTAATTTTAAAACTTGTTTCAAATCCAATCTCTCTCCTCAATCTTATCTCCAAACTCCTCGAAAAGCACATATTCAACATTCTACTAAATCATCTTTTCTCTAACAACCTCCTCTCTGATTCCAAATTTGGATTCCTGCCAGATAGCTCTACAGTATCTGCTCTTGCTGCTTGCATGTACTCAATGCATTCTATCTACTTTCGATGCAGGCTCATCTCTCTGTGGAATTTTTTTGACGTTAAAAAAGTATTTGAGTCTGTAAGTCACAGTATCCTTTTGTCTAAACTTCAATCCCTAGGCATTCCCTCTCACATCCTTCACTGGCTTTTCTCCTATATTTCTGACTGGTCACAATGTGTATGCGTTGGTAATGCTATTTCTCCTCCCTCTTCTGTATCCTCTAGTGTTCCCCAAGGCTCCATCCTAGGCCATTACTTTTGTTAATGACCTCAACCTTTTCCCAATCTCTTCTATTTAAGTGTTCCTATAAGCAGATGACTTCTTCTCCTACATACATTACCTCCTCATTCCGATATCTCTCCTCTCCAGTCTGATCCAGATATCATTACTTCCTGGTTCTACTCCAATTGTTTCTCTGTAAATCCATCCAAATCCAAATACATGTTCTATTCACTGAGCGTCAATAGTCATTCGGCTCTCTTCCCTCTCTGCTGTTATCAAATGTTCCTTTTGAGAGAGTCTACCCTTTTAAGTACTTAGGTTTAATTCTCTCCTGTAACCTTTCCTGGTCTAACCATATTATCTGTACAATCAAAAGGGCTAAGCGCCTCATTGGTTTAATTTACTGTCAATTCTACTCTCTCCTCCCCAAAGCCATATTATCTCTCTATACCACCATTGTCTATCCCATTCTTGAGTATGGGTTTCCAATCTGGGACCTTTCTTCTCTCTCTCCTCCTCAATTGATTCTGTGCAGTACTTTGCTCTTAAAATGATTTTTAAATACTGGTCTACTCCCTATAGCACCCTTCTTTCTTCTCTCAATTTAAGGATTCTGAAGCATTGAGGAAAGAGATCAAAACTTTTATTTTTTTACAAGATTAACAATGGACTCACTCAACTCTTGCTCTTACTCCACACCCTTCCTCTCCAATAATGTCTCTCTGTCACTACTGTCCCTATAATTATAAGTGTCCCATTCTGTGGTACCTCCTCCTATCACCTCTCCTTCCTTCCATCTACCATTAGACTCTGGAACTCTCTTTCAAACAATAGTTTTCAATTAGCATCAGCTGTTCATTCTTTCAAAAATACCATGTACTGTATTGTAGTTGTGAAACATGTTGTTTAGTATGCCATGATTAATTACTGATTAATTATGTTCAATTGCTTATTATTAAAAATTTATATCATTATTTTTAAAAGTTATGTTGTTTAGACTTGGCTTAAAAATTGAGGAAATGGTCAGAAAATGTTAAATTTTGTCCAATTGTTATTTCAGGCTCTGCACAGTGTTCACATACATGTATTGTGCATTATCACTGCTATACACTTATAGTTATTACAGTATCACCTCATATCTACAAAAGTTTGTGTTACTTGTTATCATAACAGTGATAAGTGGTTTCCCTACAGTTTGCATGGCTGTACCCACACACTATATACAAATGCACTAAAAACAACAAGATATATTATTTTACTGATGGCCAGTTGACTACAGAGTCCAGGCTAACTATACTACACATCACCAAGATAAAATTCGCCATTTTACTATTGCCAATAAATCATCTGGTATAGACCCATCCCAAGGCTAATTATCGCGATCACTAATTGCAACGTATATATTCTATAGCTGCCCACACTGGACGGCAAGAGATACTGGCAATGTATGTGCTGAATCCTGATCTCAAGCTTTCCAGCTTTCAATCTGAACAATAATTAAAGAAAGCATTAAGAGAAGCTGTAAGAAGGAATAAATAAGCTCCAGATTCATTATATGAGCAAGATTTTGACGAGGCTGCATTTACCACATCACTGGATCTTTGTGTTTAATTCCCTAGAACTCTATATGCACCCTTAGGAGCTGCATGGTACCCATTGTTTTCTATGTTTTGGAATAGTGAGGAGCCCAATGAACTTGGAATTAGGCTTGCTTTGGGTGATGAAATTCTCCACTCTCATTCAGATTCTATATACCATCTTGCTGATGAATATCATTATTGACCAATAAATATCATTATGAAATTATTTCTTGGGCATATATGGTACAATTAGTGCATGTTATACCTTGGGGAACCAAAGATTTTGACTTGTGGTTTTGGATATAAAACAACTTAGTCTTTCATGAAATAAATAATATACTCATGCAAAAACTTTATACCTGGCTAGTGCCAAAACCTGTAAATTTACAAATAAATTTATTTGAAAAGTAAAAAATTGCCAAATGAATGAGAATCAATTCTGGTCCCGTGTATATATCAATACTAAACAAGGCAGTGTCACTTGCATATGGTCTGTACTAATGTTTTCGATTACAATCAAGATAAAATCAAGTGATCAAGACCACTTCAGATATTGATCAAGACATCAAAAGTTGCTGTGGAAGAGAATCAAGAGATACTCTCAAAGCTCCATGCTTCTCTGTGTATTCTTGTTTCCAGCCGCCGTCCGTGTTTGTTATTAGCTGTATATCTATATTCTATTTTTAACTATCTGTTTATTTTCGTATGTTAATATACTTTCTGATAAGATCATCTTGATACTGGTCGCAAACACTATGATTAGTACATGTCAAGCTCAATGCAGGTGACATCACCTTGCTAAATATCGTAAACTTTGATTCATGACACTACTTGACAACTAAACTCTAGGTTTAGAATACGCAAACACTTAATTTTGTGTCATCCCTTACAGTTGCCTTAGATCCAAGTCGAATGGATTATCCCAATCAAGCTGCCACTTTTTTGCCACGGTTTTAATTCCGATGTAATGACGCGAATATGAGCTCGAAGATGAAGATCCTAAGATAAAACATAAAGAAAAAGAACACCTAGAAGAACATACTTTAAAATATTTTGTGTAGAAAAGACCTCACGAAGACTATAAACCGAGCTACAAACTCTCTTTGCTTACAGACCTCTTCTCTTCGTCCCCCACTCCCAAGTTAATTTAATTTTTAATAGTATTAAAAATTGATTGGCTAGTCCATTATAAATTTTGACCATTCTTAATTTTCATCAGTCCTTAATATTTTTCATCTCCTCAGTATAATTCATCAGACCACAGTTTGCTAATGAACTGTATAATCAGGAAGAAGTATGTGGGATACATTTGTAATATACTTGTACATGTATATATCTACTCTCTTCCTTTCTCTCTCAGACTTCATATAAAGTTGCTGGAGGTCAGTTATTATGAATACAAATAAAGGATTCACAATCTCTTGGCATCAACCAAACACAAGAGCAAAACTCATGTAAGACTCCAACTCATTATTATTTCCTTTTACCATAGATGCTTTTAACATTCTTTCAGTCTCTCATCCGCAAGCTATCACTTTACTAAACGAGTGCACTATAGCACATGGCCTTGCCACAACCAGTGAAATGTAACACAACAAATGTGAAACAGTAACATTTTTCCAAAATTTTGGAAGGAATGTTGCTTACTTTTCTGCTTTTGGTTTAGCTGCTGCAGCAAAGGTGTGGCTGGAATAAAGGTGAGGCCATGCATCTAATATCCATGGCTCAGCTCAGCTCATGCTCAATCAAAATATGCAAAAATATCATTAATTCATTATAATAAAATCATAGATTAGATAGGTATAGAACCTATGGTAAAATGGTGCCATAACACACTTCATGCACACACACACACACATGCACACACTGGCACAATGAACGCAGTACCCTCACCTAAGGCGTGGGTGAGGACAATAATCATTTTTGGAATATATTCATGTCCTGTTTTGATGTTAACAATCCATGCACCTTCCATATCATGTGTCCTTAATGTAACTGCATTATTCATAATTCTTATCAATAATCATAATTGTGTTTATCTATTTATTACTTTATTTATTTATTTTTTAGGGACCCAGCATATTTACTGGGTTCCCTTCAGCACACATTTTATTCCTATGTGATTTTACTTTTGTTTTTTTGTGCTGTAAAGTCTATTAATAAAAATACTAATACTAATAATAATAATAATAATAATAATAATACTATACTGTGTGCTTTATCATTGCTATTTTATGTAGTTAAGAGTTAGAGAACACCCAGTGACTGGCCTTATGTTGAAGACTTCTCAACATAAGAAAGAGAGAGAGAAAGGAAGGAAAAAGAGGAGGAGAGAGGAGATAGAATAAAGAGCAAGAGGGAAAGGAAAATTTAAACTTTTTGTACTTCTTACAGATATTTTGCATCTTCATTCACTGATATTAAGATAATACTAACATTTTGTGTTATTTTATTTTATTATTTTATTCTCCTTTTCTCATGCAGCAATGGCTAGCACTGGGTAACAGGTTCTGAGCCACAGCTGCCACTGGAATGAATGAGAGGAGCTCTTGCTCTCACTTAGTCTTCACACTAGTACTCACTCAGTCAGACTATAAGGTGAAATATCAATATTGTTCTGATATCTTCATACTTCATATCTCATTCCCATGCATGCTTGTATATCTCATTCCCATGCCTTTATATCTCATTGACTCATTCCCATGCCTCCATCACTCATTCTCTACTTTTTATTATTATTTCAGATTATTGAATGTGAGGATTACACTTGTGTCAATCGTATCATCTCATTAATTTGGCCGGCAGTGAGAGATCAGGCATTGCAATGACTTCTGGTGAAAGATTAAAGGTCAATCACTGATACTTAATCGATACTAACACTAAAAATTGAGCTTGATTTGATTGTAATAATATATTATATTATTGCAGTATCATTATTTATACATGTCATGTATATTATTGTAGGAAGGAGCCAGAATTAACAAGTCTTTGCAAACATGTATATACATGTACACTGGATAAAGTCATCACTGCTATGAGAGAAATCAACTGGAATAAGAATGATGGTTTACATACCTACTTTAACATGGTAATATAGCAAATATTTTTTGTGTTTATTGACTTTATTCACATCTTTATGCTATGTATAATGTTTAAGCCAATTCCGACTTCAATTTTTCAAGTTATGGCCATTTAAAAATATGGCCAAAATTTGAAAAATACCCTGTACTATATAGCCCATGCTTTTTTCCAAAAAATGCCTCCGGAATCACCCCAAATTTTTATTACATTTTCTGGTAGATATTGATATCTTTATGCTATGTAGAAAGTTTGAGCCAATTCCAACTTTAATTTTTCAAGTTATGGCCATTTTTAAAAATGGTCAAAATTTAAAAAATACCCAAGGCTATAGCCCATGCTTTTTCCATAAAATTGCTCCGAAATCACCCCAAATTTTTGTTACATTTTTAAAATACATATTGATGTCCTTATGCTATGTAGAAAGTTTGAGCTGATTCCGACTTCAATTTTTCCAAGTTATGGCCATTTTAAAAAATGACGAAAATTTGAAAAATATGCTGTACTATATATAGCCCATGCTTTGTCCCAAAAATTGGCTCCTAAATCAACCCAAATTTTTGTTATATTTTCTGATACATATTGATGTCCTTATGCTATGTAGAAAGTTTGAGCTGATTCCGACTTCAATTTTTCAAGTTATGGCCATTTTAAAAAATGACCAAAATTTGAAAAATATGCTGTACTATAGCCCATGGTTTTTCCCAAAAAATGGCTCTGGAATCACCCCAAATTTTTATTACATTTTCTGGTAGATATTGATGTCCTTATGCTATGTAGAAAGTTTGAGCCGATTCCGACTTTAATTTTTCAAGTTATGGCCATTTTTTAAAATGGTCAAAATTTGAAAATACCCTATACTATAGCCCATGCTTTTTCCCAAAAAATGGCTCCAAAATCACCCCAAATTTTTGTTACATTTTCTGATACATATTGATGTCCTTATGCTATGTAGAAAGTTTTAGCTAATTCTGACTTCAAAGAGTCCTTATCACATACCAGCTAAATGATTATCAGAAAAAATTATTAAATGAAAATTTTTCTCCATGCCAGTTTTAGTGAAATTTGGCCAAAATAGACTACCGATATGACTATTGACAAATTTTGAAGCCACTATAAAAATTTATTATAAAATTCAAATTTTATCAAAATCTTCCAAAGCTTTTACACAACATGAGAACATGTACATAAGTGTATTAAAACATTATTGTTATCAAAAAAATTTTCTGAGCCATTTGTAGCAAAATTTGGCCAAAGTTCCAGTACTGTAGTACAAGGACTTACGTTGAATATTTGAGCAAATTCAAAAATTTCAATTTGACCAGAATTAGCCAGGCTAAAGTTTCTACACAACATGAGAATCATTATGTATGCGTATCAGAAAAAAATTTTAAATCAAGGATTTATTTCAGCCATTTTAAGAAAAATTTGGCCAAGGCCCCTGTACTTTAACTTTGAACAAAATTTTAATCCTTACTGAAATACCTTTTCCAATCATTGTCTTAATTTTTTGAAAAATTATGACTCAATTGGAGCAAGTGCCACTTCTAGTTTTAATGAATTTTGTTTTACTTTGTTATAAGAAATAATTTCCAATTAGTATAAGTCTGAGGAATTAAGTTCACTTGTTCAGAAGCATGCACAGTTTCATTTCTCAGTTCATGAGAAATTTCCAACACCATAGGCAGGTCAGTTAAATATTTTTTCAATATTTCTTACTAGCCTAACATTTTATAACTAAAATTTTTTAATTGTTGCAAAATATAAACTAAACTATATACTACATACTAAACTACATACAAGACATGACAATCATTTTGTAGCAAAATAATTATTATTCTATCAGCAATTAATTTTCATTTTTTTTGTCCTTCGAATGCCAATCCAATTCATATGCTTCAGTGTCGCCTTCAGGATCATCATTATAAAAAGGATTTGTTGATTGGAGCTGAGAAGGATTCTTCAGATCTCTTTTCTTTTTTTGTATGCAGAATATTGCCACCAGTATAAGAACAATCACTCCAATAATAACTGCCAAAGCAACAAAAACTATCACAAGAAGCACAGACAATGAGGCTGATGATGGTGTCAGAGAAGGAGAAGATGTTGGGCTTGAAATTAAATCCTCTACAATTAAAAAGTAAAAATACACAATGATCTATTCACTATAAATTATACCACAATTAATTCCTGTATATAGATCTAAACAACTGCATACAGTGTCTCCAGCAATCAAACTACAAGTGCCTCCATTCACACAAATGTTCTCTTCACATTCATTAAGTACTAGAAATAACATCAATGTCAATAATCTCAATATGTCCACAAGTCAAGTAATATATACATTGTAATTATTCAATTAGATCTACTACCTGGTTGATTACAAGCTATTCCTTGATATCCTTCAGAACAGAAGCAACTATTGTTACCAACACATGCTCCATTCACACATTGAGGATCACAAACAGCTTTAAAAGGTTAGAAGAAACTAAACTTTATTTACATTAAATATTTTTACTTGGTTGAAGTATTTCTTCTAAAATTTGTAGGTCTTCTTCAACTTCTTTTGTAGCCTCGCCAATACTTAAGTCACCAGTAGCAGCAACATCAAACAAGCACAACTTGTCATCACCACACAACTACATACAAACAATAAATAATAAAATTGCAAACCTCAAAGTAACAGTTCAGTAAAAAAAATTGCAGACAGACACTACACTTAACTACATAGTCCTTGCTCAAGCTAAATGCTGGCAAAGACAACAAGAATGTCATTGTAAGATAACCTTTATTGCTTCTTTTTCTAGTTTTGGGTCATTAAACTTTGCTTCAAACAATGGAGTGTATTCTGGTCTATAAAAAGTATTCCAGCTACCAGACTGA